AAAATAAGTCCAATCAACGGCTACCCACAAAGACAAGTTAAATCTCCTCCCAAAGCTCCCCAACAAACCTCACAACCCATCCAAAGATTCTATTGTTCCTCTCAAGCCAGATTCTCCACAAAATAATTAAAAAACACAAGTCTGCCACAAAACTCTTCCTTTATGATGAAAAGAACTCAAGGAACCTCCTCAAACATAGAACAAGATCCCATGTTACGAATAGAACCACCTCAAAGGTCCTAAAGAACTGACCCCAAAGAAGCAAAGGGGCAATCCCATAAAACATGATTGAGGTCCTCGTCCTACCTCTTGCAAAGAACAGACCATTGCGGCTGGAACACAAAAAAATGAAAGCTTTTCTAAGTAGTCATAAGTGTCACCCTCCACTCATGCAAAACTTGTCAGGCGAGAATTCTCACTTAGAAATTTTGACCTTCCGAAGAGAGGAGAGGCAGAGGCTCTTTGGGAGGGAGATGGGACTCAACGAATATAGAAAAAAATTGAAAGATAACAAGAGAAACCCTCAGAAGGCTTCAGAACTCCCACCCTAGAGTCTCTTCTCCCATGATGAGTCACTTGACCAAAGGTAATATAGAGGAGACTGACAGCCTCAATTTCCTCTCAATCAGTGAAGGGTTGGCAAAAACCCAAAGAATGCAACAATGAGACACCATCAAAAGAAGGCAAAACAAGGATACTGAATGCAACCTTTTATCAGATAAATGATAAAGAAGAGGAAACAAGGCACACAAGGATCTCTCTCCATGCAATCCCTCCCGAATAGAAAATTTAACAGACTATGAGAATAGAGGGAAACCCAAAGCAACGGAATACAAGAGGTTTTTGCAAGAACATTTCAACCTACTACCAAAAATCCACTCTTTAGAGAGGCCCATACTTCCTCACAATAACCCTCTACCATAAGATAGGGCACTTGACTCCGGAAAGAAATGCCACAACCATTTTGTCAAATGAAGCTCATCAAGTGAACCCCACTACCCTCCTTCACACCATACCACAAGAAATTCCTCTATAATCTTTTGATGTTCTTAATAACTGAGGCAGGAAAACTAATAATGAAAAGAGAGTAACTGGAATCCCACTCAACATAGACTCAATCAACATCAACCCCCCTTTAGAGAGAAAAATAAAATAAATAACATAAAAGGCCTTTTTTTCCACGGAGAAATGCATTCTACACCACTGAGTACCAAAAATGCACCAATCTCAAGTTACGCCACAAGAGAAAACCAAGGTAAGAACAAGGAAGTTGACTCACTTCATACCTCACCGTAGTCACCTAAAATGTCAACTTAGATATCTCATAATTTACATCAAAGATGGAACTTTTCAAATGATTTATTTTAGGTCCAGATGGTTCAAAGGACAAAAAAATCCATTTAGATTCCTAAAGGAATTATACACCGAACAAATAAAGAGGGTGTCATCAGTGAGCTGAAGGCGTATCAAGTGCAGGTTATGAACGATCTTTATATAAACTAGTAACAAGACTTATGGGGCTGAAGTCTTTAAGTTGGTTAGCTATTTATTTTTTGGGATCAGGCACACATAAGTCTCAGTCTCACTCTTAACCGCATAAATGAAACGTTTCTTTCAAAGCTTGCATTTAACCACCTAGGCCAATTACTTGTCATAAGGGAAAACAAGCATCAACACTAACTAAGCACAAACAAATCGTGCAGTCAAATAGATTGTAGCATCTACTCTTAATATCGTTTGACTGATAAGTTTCTTCTTTAAATTTATTGGGAGTAAAATACACATGTTGAAAACTTAGAATGGTTAAAACGGAAGTCCTGTTCTTGGGAGTAAAATAGTTTGCATTTTGCTGCATCGAGCTTCCTAAAATGAAGGATACTGAAATAAGGAATAATCATGAAGAACGCCACTAAATCCCTCATTGCATGCATACAACTCAAGTACATGATTGATATTTCAAAATAGTACAACTGCATCACATGCCAGTATTATAATTAATCCCTAAATAGAAAGAAAAAGACACCTGGAATTGAATGGAACAAAGAACTATGATGGTTCATAAGAACCTCGTTGAGACGCTTAGAAAAATCATAGAAATTAAAAAAAAAAAATGAAAGGAGAACCATATCTTACGTTCCGAGGGGTTTCTGGCAATGCGTTTAACGTGAATAGCAGAGGGAAATTCCATGAAAGGATCGGTGGTAATCACAGCAAGCTTATCGCCGACAGAGAAATCAACCGCCCTAGCAGGTGAGTCAAAATTGAAAGAGAACAGTTGTTGTCCAGTTTGCACATTCCACAGTTTGGCCGTCTGATCTGCACTGCCGGTGATGAGCCGCATTGAATCTCCTGAAATTTAAGCAGCAACGTATAAAAAGCTGTCTCAGATTCCTCAATTAGCCAATCCGAACGAACATGAAGTAAAAAAAAATAAGAAGAAGAAGGTGAAGCATACTAGAGACATCGCAGCACCAAACGGCACCATTGTGACCACGATAAGTCCCCAATCGCTCGCCGTTGTCGGCGAACCAGACGGTGGGATTGAGATCCTTGGCGCAGGAGAAAAGGAGATCGCCATCCCGGTTGTACTTAAGGAAAGTCAATGGCCGTTCATGGCCTTTCATCAAAATTGGTCGCATTTTCGCTGATATTCAAAGAAAGAAGCAGATGGTTGAAGGGATTGAGCCGGAGGTCGACGTTTGTTCGTCCCGACGGATGATTGTGAGGAAGTGATGAGGATTTTAGGGTTAGGGTTTTAAAATTGGACTTGGAATTGGGCCGACATTTAATGGGGTTAACGTGAGGGGGTAACGGTTCGGTTCGGTCCAGAGGCGATCCAAACCGGGCATCTCGTTGGCTTGCTGGTTTAATTTCCTTTCGGTTCATTTCTTGCGGATTAGTTTTTATGGACGAAAATGTTGTACAACAAATTAAACGCTCAAACTATAATTAATGTAAACACAAAACCCTCGCACACTTTCAAACTCTCTCTCGAAATATTGGTGCCTCAGTTTTCTAAAATTTTCTTCTTAAAGTGGGCTAGTTTAGGAATATGTGGTCTAGCGAGGGGCGACACAAATTTGGTCAAGTCAGCTCGTGTCGTGAGATGTTGTCGTCAGCTCGTGTCGTGAGATGTTTGGTCAAGTCCTATAACGAGCGAAACCCTCGTTTTGTGTTGCTGAGACATGCGCCTAAGGATCAAGTCTTTGCAACCGAAGGATGAATTGCTCTCTTAAGTACTGATTTCGAGATTTGAACAATGGGGCACCATCCTCTCATTGGTTCGAGAGGGACTTAGCTTATGATTGAATCATAAACAAATTGTTCATTAGAGAATGGTACTTAAGGTGAAAGATGTAATTACAAGGGTAAAATAGACTTTCGACCTAGCTATAATTATGAACAACTCGTGAAAGATCGACTTGTTTGTAATGGTTATATCAATGGACATAAATCGATATGAAACCCTAGAGGGTTGAATAGGGTTTCAACAATATAATTATTAATTTTTTTTAATAACAATAAAACGTATACCCTGCAATCAAACTTAAAATTTAGAATTTAAATAGGAAAATGGTTAGAAAATATAACACTCATAGTTTTATAGTGGTTAGGTCAAACTCGACCTGCTCCACTCATCAAAAGTCTCTTGTGAATTTGAATAAAACTTTCTGACTCATTTCTCAGATCAGAGCTCAACTACTACACCACTCCTTTTACGAGTGCAAGAGTAAACTCAATCCTTCCCACGACTCAGGATCAAACCGGTACAGCACTCTTTTTACGAGTTCAAAAGCTCAGTATCAAATCGGTAAAATTGTCTGAAACTTTATAGAAACACACAACACACCACAACTCTCTGAAGTAGTAGATTTCCAATTTTCTCCACTACAATAGACATCTCTCTCAAAATAAGATAAACCAGAAATAGAATTGGAAACTTTAGGGAGAGCAACAGAGGCTTTTAACTTGTATATGGTGAAAAATATGAAAAGGTGATGAGTTTAAATAGTGATCAGTTGTAAAAATAGGAATTGATCGGGACTACTAAAACAACGTGTACCACGATAAATAATATTTATTTATTTTTAAATTTATCGTAAAAAATTATAGACCACATGTTTTATTTAAATATATATATATTATTTTAAATAAATATTAAAAACATTTTAAATTTATTTTTATTATATATATATATCTTGTTTAGACTGAAACTTCTTTGTTTTATCTCTAATTTGAGTGAACCAAAAAAGACGAAATGGTTATTCCCAATTGAAGGTAGGTTTGTTATCCTCAAAACATCAATTAATTAATTAATTTGAGATTAAGACGAAAAATCCAACAATAACTTGTCCCACAGTACACAACTCTAGGTCTATAGTGGAGTTACTTATAGTTAATGAAAGAAAATTTATTAATTAAAGAGTTTAATTAATTAATTTTATGTCATTGGAGCTTATAATCGGTAGGTCAGGCTAGCTCATAGTAATGCTAAAAGGTTAAGGAAACTACCTCTCTTCTCACAAGCTTTGACCGAGTTAGAATGTTGGAAAGCTTTTGCATGGTTGGATGAGTGTTGCAAGGTAGGGTTTGTACGAAAGGTAGAGTCCTTACTCTCCTATTTATTACTTTTGTTTTAATTATTAATAAAATCAAAACGGCTCCAATGCTTCAGCTAAGTGGATGAAGAATTTATTACCCTCACGGTCATCTACTAAAGGAATAACATTGACCACTAGGGTTGCATTATGAATCTCTAGATTTGGCGAGGCTCCAAGTTGTCTTCGAGGTATGTTTTGTTACGTCATTCTAACTCCTCTCTATTTGAGACGCCAAAATGAATTCCAAATTCTGTCTTCTTTTTACTCCAACTCATTGTAATTCTACGAGTAAAGTTTAGTAAAGTTGGTGTTAAAATAGTGTAAAAATTGACCTGTAACCTGTAATTCATGCGAATTAAAATATATACGTTATGAGAAGGAGTTTATGATTTTCATGGACCCGGTTCACTCCCATCAAACTCGGGACGGAGAAAAAAAAAAAATAAAAAAAATAACAGACAGTGCAGAAATCAAAGTCTGAGATTGTCGAAGCCTCAGCACCGAACTCAGGTAACCCTATCGCTCCTCCTTCTCCTCCTTCCTACGTCTATTCCCTGACTTCTCATCCATTCTCTCCACTACCTATCATTCAATCACCATTCATCCTTCCAACACTTCTGCAATTTCGCTACGATTTCCCTTTCTTCCTTTATTTTCATACCTTAATCTTTCGCTTTTCTCGGCTGTTTTCTCCCTTTTCCTCTCTGCTTTTTCACTTGAGATCTATATTTTTGTAACCCATGTCGCCTCCTGCACGATGATTTATACGTTTCTCATGGGGTTTTCTAGAGATTTTAATTGACTATATTTTGTGTAGATCTTAATATTGATTTCATGAAAGTTGGTGAATAATGGCAAGCTATGCGGGTAAAGGAGCCCTCTCCAATGGATCTGTTTACATCTGCAACCTGCCCATTGGGACTGATGAGAATATGCTTGCTGAATATTTTGGTACAATTGGGTTATTGAAGGTTGGGAGTTTAACCACAATTTTGTTGACCCCTTTTCAGTTTCTCTACACATTGGATTTTGCTTTTATTGTTATTATAGTAACTGTTGGACATTTTTTTGCTTAATCTTCAAAGAAAGACAAGCGAACAGGTAGACCGAAAATCTGGTTGTATCGTGATAAATCGACGAATGAGCCTAAAGGAGATGCTACTGTGACATATGAGGATCCACATGCAGCTTTAGCGGCTGTTGAATGGTTTGACAATAAGGATTTTCATGGTAACATCATTGAAGTTCATATAGCTGAGTCCAAAAGTAAAGATGATGTCTCGTTTAATGTGGGGGTCGATCCGATTGTTGTTGGTGATACTCTTGATTTTGAGGAAAATGTTGGGGATGGTATGAACGGGGGCGGTGGAAGGGGGAGAGGTCGCGGTGATGCTCCTCCAGGAAAAGCATGGCAACAAGAGGGAGATTGGCTGTGTCCAAATACAAGGTCTGTGATGTGATATTGGTGAGCAGCTTCTTCTTGCTTCTTTCAATCTTGGCTGGATTCTATGTTCTATTTAGTGTTGTTGAAATGGTTTCTCATGCTCTATCCTACTGGCAGTTGTACCAATGTTAATTTTGCATTTCGTGGTGTGTGTAACCGGTGTGGAAGTGCCCGACCTTCTGGTGCTGCTGGCAGTGGTGCAGGCTCTATAGGTCGTGGCAGGGGCCGTGGCACTGGCAACCAGGAATCAGGAAGCAATAGTCGTCCAGTTGGTGGCCCTACTGGTCTTTTTGGTCCAAATGACTGGCCGTGTCCAATGTAAATATATTCTTCCTTTTCTTATATGCCATCGCCATATTATACGTGCATTAGTTTTAACTTGTAGGATTGTCTTACCTTCGTGTTTTCTTTTCTGCAATTTTATCATTTGGTATATTAAGAATTCGAGTCTAATTTTGTAAAACCTACCAATTAATTGGTTTATTTTTTCAATGCAACTATATGGATCAAAGTAGATTATATTGATGTTTTAAAAATAATAAAAAGATGGATTATATAGGTTAGAAGATATAATCACACATCCAAAGAAAAAGAAAAAAGGCGAAGAAGATGATTCGGTGTAGAATCAAACGACAGGAAGTTCTTTTCAATATTTGATTTCACACATCTTTATATCCGCCCTTTACTTTTGGTTTAGTCTTAACGAATAGAATAAGCATTAAAGACAGTGACACATCTGAATTTATGAAGTTATCTTTCTTTACATGGTTACTTTCTTGTTTCTTTCAGAATGTGTTCTTTTAATTAAATATTTTGAATATCGTGGGATGGGGAAAGGAGGCATCTCTAATGTTAATGTTAATCTGAAGTTTCGGGAGAAGTGTTCTATCGTACGGTTATTTGTTTCTTTAATCTTGTTCTCTGCTTGAAAGACACTGCTTGCTTGTGTAACTGGTTGATATTGGTGCTTCCTTCTGCTTTAATCTTGTTCTCTGCTTGGATAACACTGCTTGCTTGAGTAACTGGTTGATATTGGTACTTCCTTCTGCTTTATGTTCCAGGTGTGGTAACATCAATTGGGCAAAGCGCTCGAAATGCAATATTTGTAACACAAACAAACCGGGTCACAATGAGGGTGGCGTGAGGTATAACATGAACTCTTTTGTGTATTTCTCAAGATAAATAATGCAACTTTTTATTTGATCAAAATATGGTATATGCTTTTCTAACAAATTGATGTGAATTTGACTTTTGAGATTGAGTTCTGAGCTTAATCAATTAAATTTAAAGCAAATTGATGGGTTCATCTGCAGTATACTGAACTTTAATTTTGGTATATCTTGGAATAGCTTAGAAACTGGAAATCTATACTTGTTGTTACTACCCTGAAATGAATACTTCTAGCCTACTACAAAATTTCTCTTATTTTGAATTATAATTGAACAGAGGAGGGCGCGGTGGAGGTTACAAAGAACTTGATGAAGAAGAGTTGGAGGAGATTAAACGACGTCGGCGTGAAGCTGAAGAAGTAAGATGCTGAAACCATGATTTTGAGAAAACGAAAACAGTTTTTGGATTGTGATATGATCGTTTCATTACAATATCAGGATGATGGTGAGATGTATGATGAGTTTGGAAACCTTAAGAAGAAGTTTCGTGCTAAATCCCAGCAAATGGAAGCCGGTCAGATAATACCAGGTGCTGGGCGGGCTGGATGGGAATTCGAAGAACTAGGTACGTGTCGGTTGACTAACACCGTGCTATTGTCCTTGAAAAAGTCGATGATAATTCTTTGTGCTATTGATTACATATTTACATCTTTGGCAAACTTGCATTTTCAGGTGTAGTTGAGAAGGATAGAAGGGAGAGAAGTAGAGACCAAGGAAGGGAATGGAATGACCGAGACCGAGACCGAGATGGTAGCAGAAATAAAGAAAGAGAACCTAGGGAAAGACATCGGAGTCGAAGCAGAGAGCGGGACAGGGGTCGAGATCGTGATCGAGATCGAGAGTATGATTTCGAGCGAGATAAAGAACATGGGAGGGAGAAGGAGCACCGGAGCAGGCACCGGTATTGAAGACCTTGGATTAAAACTTATTGGCAGAACCTGGTGGGTCTCATTTTTTATGAAAGATATTCTATTTTTGGTATTATTGTGATTACATCTTCTTGGCGCTTTTAAGAATTCTATGAGAATACGAATTGAATTTGCAAAGCACTTGGAATTGTTTGGCTGCCTTTTCACCACCAACTCCAACTTGTAATCAAGTTCACATATTAGCAAGCTTAGGCGATCTTAGTACACGACTCTCGAAAATAGACATGAGAAATCGAAAAGACACTTGTAACTGCATGACTCTCGAGCTTCTGCCAACGGTTGTTATCTCATGTACAATTTGAAATCAAAATGTAGCATGAGTGAGTATAAAATACTTAGTAAGACTCGTTAATTCCTGTAAACTATATACAATGTATCATTACCAGCTTCCTAGGGCTTTTAATTTGATTTTATGGCTCTAAGTGAGCTTTTACATGCACTACACCTTCACCTTCTCATGATGACACTCATCCCGTAGCTTTCGAGGTCTAGTACTTGACTCCCTTGGTGTATGGCTACACCCATTTGGGTTCCTACATGGTCTTAGGGTTGGTTCAGTTACCTTACTTGTTTATCTTTGCTCGTGTCACTCACCTAAGTATTAGGTATTTGTGAGGTGCGACCTCTCATGTTTCCAACTACTAACTTGTTAAGACATCAGGAAAAATAGCCCTTAATACTGATAAACTAAGGTGGATGAGTTGGTGAATTCCTAATAGTCTACATAATGTCAACATACCTAATAGTCTACGTAATGTCAACATACCTAAAAAGGTGTGATCCTCATGCCTGTCAAGCTATTACCCATACGTTGTCTCTCATCTCTTGTGGGCAAGTTCTCAATCAATGAATAGTTGGAGATTCCTTAATCATACCACATGAGGCATATCAATGGCACATTGTGTTTCAAGCACGATCCTATGTACTCGAACTCTTGAAAGACTACTACAAATGACTGTGGACCACTAGCCTTTGTGATAGGTTAACTAATGAGGCGATTACTGATCTCCACATCACCCACATCATCATAAAACTTGTGGAGAGTGACACCCTGTAATTGATATCACCATATCACCAAATAGATTTCTACAGTCACGACCCAAGACGTACAAAAAAAATTTAGTAATTGTTTTTTTGCAAAATACAACAAAGGAAGTTTGAAACATAATATACATATATATTTACATTATATCAAAATAAAGTTCAGACATGAGTAGTTAAAAATTAAGGAACGAACCTAAAAACCTTAAAAAGAAAGGAGGTTAAAGACTAGGATAAGGTTTGTCTATGACGCCTTCTTTAGAGTCCGCTCCCGTCCTCGATCAACTCTTTGTACCTGAAAACATGGAAACATGGTGTGAGTATAAAGACTTGGTAAGTAACCTACTTGTAGGCTCTTAATCATATCCTTAGGGTGTGTTAGGGTACCACATTTTTTCTCATCCTGACCTTGTCATTGTCCTTTTTCCTTATCCTCGGTTCTTGTTCTTGGTACTTGTTTCTTGCATGGTACCTAACAACCTTTAAGTGTTAATGACCTTGGCTTATGTAGTGCTACTTTAGGGCATAAAAACATGGTAACAATACTCATCTTATTTCACGTACTTCAGGTAGCATAATGATTGCTTGAAAATCAAATGCGCTTAAACTCACTTCTTGATTCTTGGCCTTAGGATAACACATTGATTACTTAAAAAATCAAAGGCTACCAAATACTTACTTCTTGGTTGGGGTAGTGTCCATTAGGGTCTGTCTTAAGGCTTATCTCGAGGTAGAATCCTAATTACTTGAAAAATCAAGTGCTAACCTAAAACTCATCATGAGGGTGCCCGTTCCAAAACCCTTTTACATGTTTTCATCTTAGATAGACCTTTACTATTTCATGTTGTGTCAATATGGGGTGTATGACCATTCACAAAAATCATGAATACACCCGCCAGGGTTAAAATGTAGGGTTAAAATGCCCCAAAATGTACTATAGAGGGATATGACAAGTTGTTACTTCTTCCTACCTCGATTATATGCTATCAAAGTCGTTGTTGCCTACTCGTTTTAGCTTATAACATTTCTTTTTTTTTTTTCAAATTATTTTCTATTGGATCGATATGACAACCGTAGAGGGGGTGAATAGGGTTTCAACAATGTAATTATTAATTTTTTTTAATAACAATAAAACTTATACATGCAATACAACTTAAAATTTAGAATTTAAATAGAAAAGAGTTAGAAAATATAACAACGTAGTTTTAGAGTGGTCCAGTCAAACTCGACCTACTTCACTCCCCAAGCACCTCTTGGGAATTTGAATAAAACTTATCTGACTCTTTCCTCGGATCAGAGCCCAACCGCTACACCGCTCCTTTTACGAGTGCAAGAGCAAACTCAATCATTTCCACTGTTCAAGATCAAACCGGTACACTTGTCTGAAATCTTATAGAAACACATCACAACACTCTGAAGTAATAGACATCTCTCTCAGGAATAAGATAAAGAACAAAAATAGAATCTTTCCTCGGATCAGAGCCCAACCGCTACACCGCTCCTTTTACGAGTGCAAGAGCAAACTCAATCATTTCCACTGTTCAAGATCAAACCGGTACACTTGTCTGAAATCTTATAGAAACACATCACAACACTCTGAAGTAATAGACATCTCTCTCAGGAATAAGATAAAGAACAAAAATAGAATCTTTCCTCGGATCAGAGCCCAACCGCTACACCGCTCCTTTTACGAGTGAAAGAGCAAACTCAATCATTTTCACGACTTAGGATCAAACCGGTACACTTGTTTGAAATCTTATAGAAACACATCACAAGAAGTAATAGACATCTCTCTCAGGAATAAGATAAAGAACAGAAATAGAAGCTTTCCTCGGATCAGAGCCCAACCGCTACACCGCTCCTTTTACGAGTGCAAGAGCAAACTCAATCATTTCCACGGCTCAGGATCAAACCGGTACACTTGTCTGAAATCTTATAGAAACACATCACAACACTCTGAAGTAATAGACATCTCTCTCAGGAATAAGATAAAGAACAAAAATAGAATCTTTCCTCGGATCAGAGCCCAACCGCTACACCGCTCCTTTTACGAGTGCAAGAGCAAACTCAATCATTTCCACGGCTCAGGATCAAACCGGTACACTTGTCTGAAATCTTATAGAAACACATCACAACACTCTGAAGTAATAGACATCTCTCTCAGGAATAAGATAAAGAACAAAAATAGAATCTTTCCTCGGATCAGAGCCCAACCGCTACACCGCTCCTTTTACGAGTGAAAGAGCAAACTCAATCATTTCCACGACTTAGGATCAAACCGGTACACTTGTTTGAAATCTTATAGAAACACATCACAAGAAGTAATAGACATCTCTCTCAGGAATAAGATAAAGAACAGAAATAGAATCTTTCCTCGGATCAGAGCCCAACCGCTACACCACTCCTTTTACGAGTGCAAGAGCAAACTCAATCATTTTCACGGCTCAGGATCAAACCGGTACACTTGTCTGAAATCTTATAGAAACACATCACAACACTCTGAAGTAATAGACATCTCTCAGGAATAAGATAAAAAACAAATAGAATAGAATTGGGAGCTTTGGAGAGAGCAAGAGAGGCTTTTAAAAAAAATTTAGATGGAGAAAACAAATGTTTTACATGTTGTGTTGTCTTGTGAAAATATGAAGGGGTGATAAGTTTAAATAAAGATTAAATTGTAAAAATAGGAATTGATACGGAACACTAAAACCTGAACTCAAACTTGGACCACTAATAATAATATTTATTTATTTTTAAATTTATTGTAAAAAATTATACACCTATTTCATTTAAATTTAAATATATATATATAACATATTGAAATATAATAATATAATAAAAAAAATGTTAATGAAAACAAAGTGGATAACATTTTAAAAATAATTGAAAAGTTTTATAAATCTAATTGAAATCATTAGTTTGGATGGTAAATGAAATCATTATAATTTCTTCCCTTTAAAAGTAAACGAAAACTTTTATAAATATAATTGAAATTATTTTATAATTCAAATACTAATTTTTTAATTTAGAAGTAATGAAAACTTTTATAAATGTAATTGAAAACTCCACCCTTTGTTACTCTACCAAATTTATAAATTTCATACTTCGATTGGTCTATGATGTCAATTTTGCCGTTGGTCCATGATGTCAATTTTGTCACCACATCATCAATTTTGTCACCATATCATCAATTCAGGTATCCTGTTTTGAATTTGATTGATCCATGATGTCAATTTTGCCGCCACATCATCACGTCGGGTAATTGTTTTGACTGGAACTTCTTCGTTTTATCTCTAATTTGAGTGAACCAAAAAAGACGTTGAAATCATTATTCCCAACCTTACACTGTGGACAAAAATACTGAGAATTGTTAATAATTGAAGGTAGGTTTGTTATCATCAAAACATCAATTAATTAATTAATTTGAGATTAAAGCGAAAAAACCAACATTTTCAACGTATATCCTTGATCACGTTTTTTAAAACATTTCTCTCAAATGTACCTCGAGGCTCGAGTATATACTGACGTTTTCTGTGAAATCTGAATTTCTCACGACTAACTTGTTCGCTACCCTAATTTTCTTAACCTAATTAGTGACGTCATCCATGCATAAATAAATCATTAAGCGGAATCTCATCATAAATAACTTTGGAAAACAAAACGAAGTCTAACATAAAGGTCCAAAAATCCAAACCAAACATATCTCCGAGAATAAAACCTTTAGTAACTGAGTTTAGAAAATTCTAAATAAAAATAATATTCAGTGTTTTAACTTAAAACAATCAAATAAACGTAAACTATTAATAATGACCCCTCCTTCAACTTCCATGGTGTCCTCAGTGTCACAACCATACTATGAAGAGAGTAAGTTGTGACCCTCAAGTCATGACAAGCAAAGTGGCGTCCCTCAAGAGATGCCCATCCGACCATATGCGGGCCAATATAGAAGAGTGCCATGATGCGATCGAGGAGGACGATGCATCATCCAACACACCACCACGCAAAGTGGGCATTGAAGGCAAGTTGAGACATAAGCAAGACAGAGACATTAGAATAGACATGAAGGAGAAAGATAGGCTTGTTGAAGGGCCACGTAGGGCCCCGGGCCTTAA